CTAATGAAGACATACGACACTAACAAAGAGATCCGGTGCGTGGGCACGGGGAGGAGAAGGGGAGAGGAACAGAAGGGAAGGGGAGAAGAACAGAAGGGAAGGGAAGAGGAACAGAAGCGAAGGGGAACAGGAGGAGAAGGGGGAGAGGGATAGAAGGGAAGGGGAGAGGAACAGAAGGGGATGGAAGAGGGACAGAAGGAAAGGGGAGAGGAACAAAAGAAAAGGGGAGAAGAACAGAAGGGAATGGGAGAGGAACAGAAGAGAAGGGGAGAGGAACAGAAAGGAAGGGGAGAGGAATAGAAGGAAATGGGGAACAGGAAGAAAAGGGGAGCGGAACAGAAGGGAAGGGGAGAGGAACAGAAGGAAAGGTGAGAGGTACAGAAGGGAAGGGGGAGGAACAGGAGAAGGGGAGAGGAACAGAAGAGAAGGGGAGAGGAACAAAAGGGAAGGGGAGGAACAAAAGGAAAGAGGGAGGAACAGGAGGAGAAGGGGAGAGGAACAGAAGGGAAGGGGAGAAGAACAGAAGGAAAGGGAAGAGGAACAGAAGCGAAGGGCAACAGGAGGAGAAGGGGGAGAGGAATAGAAGGGAAGGGGAGAGGAACAGAAGGGGATGGAAGAGGGACAGAAGGGAAGGGGAGAGGAACAGAATGAAAGGGGAGAAGAACAGAAGAGAATGGGAAAGGAACAGAAGAGAAGGGGAGAGGAACAGAAAGGAAGGGGAGAGGAACAGAAGGAAATGGGGAACAGGAAGAGAAGGGGAGCGGAACAGAGGGGAAGGGGAGACTGGGAGAGGAACAGAAGGAAAGGGGAGAGGTACAGAAGGGAAGGGGGAGGAACATGAGAAGGGGAGAGGAACAGAAGAGAAGGGGAGAGGAACAAAAGGGAAGGGGAGGAACAAAAGGAAAGGGGGAGGAACAGGAGGAGAAGGGGAGAGGAACAGAAGGGAAGGGGGAGGAACAGAAGGGAAGGGGGAAGAACAGAAGGGAAGGGGGAGGAACAGGAGAAGGGGAGAGGAATAGAAGGGAGGGGGAGAAGAACAGAAGGGAAGGAGGAGAAACAGGATGAGAAGGGGAGAAGAACAGAAGGGAAGGAGGAGGAACACAATGGAAGGGGAGAGGAACAGAGGGGAATGGGGAGGAACAGGAGGAGAAGGAGAGAGGAACAGAAGGGAAGGGAAGAAAAACAGAAGGAAAGGGGGAGGAACAGAAGGGAAGGAGGGAGGAACAGAAGGGAAGGCGGGAAGAACAGAAGGAAAGGGGAGAGGAACAGAAGGGAAGGAGGAGGAACCGAAGGAAAGGGGAGAGGAACAGAAGGGATGGGGGAGGAGGGTAGGGGAGAAGAACAGAAAAGGCGGGGAAGGATAAGGGAGAGGAACAGAAGGGAATGGGAGAGGAACAGAAGTGGCGGGGAGGAGGGTAGAGGAGAGGAACAAAGGGGGCGGGGGAGGAGGGTAGGGGAGAGGAACAGAGGGGGCGGGGAAGGATAAGGGAGAGGAACAGAAGGGAATGGGAGAGGAACAGAAGTGGCGGGGAGGAGGGTAGAGGAGAGGAACAAAG